AAACTTAATGCCTAGCCACCCTCTCCCCACCGCCGAGCCTGGCAGCTTTAAGCTATTATTTTTATTCCAACCGCAGCCTGGTGGTCAGCCTAGAGAGGAAAGGGACTCCCTGCTCCTGCCTGCGCTCCGAGAGCCAGGACTTTCATCTCCAAGCAGGCTTTGAGAAAAGAAAGCCCAAGACCCAGCACCAAAGCCATGGAGCCTGCAAGCTGAGCCCCAGCTGACAGCACTCGCTGCTCAGGTGGACACTTACCCCATAGCACAAAAGCAGCAAAAATCTATTTACCCTTTCTCCTTTTCTCTGTGAGAGGGAAGGAGCATCGCTCACCCGGCTTCAGGCAGCTGCAGCGGTGAATGCAAACCCAAAGGGAAGCACTGGGAGAAGGGTGTGTGAAAATGGCCCCATATCCTGTGGCCAGGCATCCTCCCCTACACACCATACGGGCCAAACCTGCCTTGAGAAGCTTTAGGTCTCCCCCCAGGCTGATGGCAAAGATGCCTTGATGACAGCAAAGGGAACAATTCCACAGCTGAGTTTCCATCCCCTCCCCTATGACCTCCCTATAGGGAACTGGGAGGCGGCAGGGAAGCTGAAGGTGAAACACTCGAGCACCTCACCATGCAGAGACGGGGGGGCATTCAACAGGATATGACGCATCCAAATGCTGCTTAAAAGTCACCTGAAAATACATCTTAACCAGCAGCTTGGCAAGTATGGGGACCACCTTTCAGCACCCAGACCAAAGCATCCCGATGGGAAGACGTGAATGTGTTTCCTCCCTCACCACCCAGCCCTACTTTTGATACCAGATAAAACATTCCCTTTCAAATTCCTTACTGCAAAGGCGAAGAAGCACTGGCTGAAAAAAGCAGCAGTCAGGCAAAACTAAAAGCACCTCTGCAAGGAGAAGCCCTTCGAGGAATTTACTTTCTCCTGCTGATCCTCCCCATCAGCAGCCCACGCCGTTCCCCGGCACTGAAAGCTCTTTTCAACACCAGATAAGAAGGGGCCCCACCAGTAAAGCTGGCAAAACATCCACAAGGCAAAACATCAAGGTATTTCACAGCCCCGGGGGAAGATGGGAAAACAGCAATTTGAATGTCATTAAGAGCGTTCCGATAACTCAAACCACAAGGAATGAGCTAAATCCACTAATGATTGTCTTGACCTCTCTGGGCAGCTCCTTTGGAGCTCCAAGGGCGGATCCCGCAGCAGCTGCCTAGGCTCCTACCAGCTCATCCAGCCTCTCTGCTCTCCAGGCTGGCTCCCCACACTGTGCCCTGCCAGTCCCGGGAGCATTTTCTCTTTTTTGGGGTGCTGAAACAAGCTCTGATGTGCCAGTGCCAAAAGCTGCCCCTCTGGCACAGTGGCGCGTTTCCCGCTGGGGAACTTCAGGCAAGAAGTAGTTTCTCAAGAGCTCGTAAGCCCAAGGAGGGAATCCCCAGGGGGTCATCTCTGGCAGCACCCTTTCCGATTCGCCCCTTCCGGTGGGAAAAAAAGTCACACAAACACTAAAAGCCAGTGGAACGGAAAAAAAACCAAATCAAACCAACCAAACAAACCACCAAAGCACAAACCCAAGCCATACTATGCTATATACACAGTTCTTCTGGGAAAGAAGAAAAACAAACATACAAGACCAGTGTTAATACTGTGGCTTGAAGTATTCCTGCTAGTGATGGCGTCAGCAGAAGAATCCTCTCTGTAACCTACCTACCGAGAAGCACTTGCCTGAATCTCCACGGGACAGCGCAGTCTCTCTCGCAGCCCACGTGCCTGGTGCCCACCCCTGGGCCAGGCCACCTCTGAAGACCCGGAGCTGGCTCCTAGACGATGCCAAGCACGGGCACCTTCGATGGATACAGACCTGGCCTGTGTGCACTCAGAAAGTTACCACTGCAGTATCCATCCATTATTAAAAAAAGGTCTTTTTCCGCACCGAAACGCTACCTCTAAAATCCTATCGTGTAGCAATCTCACCAGCTGCTCTGCCGATAATAACGGCGCACTTCATGTGTTTGTTCCACTCATCTGCTTTTCCCAGAATCTCTCAGCTCCACTGTCAGCATTGGGGACTTCAGAGAGTTCCTGCAGCCACCGCATCAATGAAGCGTAGATGTCCTACTGACCTTCAGCCAGACCTACCTGCAAGTCATTAATCACTTCTGAAATCCCCATCCATTACCAAGTTCCACAACAAGAACAGTGAGAATATGAGATGTACAAAGAGTTTCACTGGCAGGTTTCTTCACCTTAATGCCAGAAGGGTTTTTTTAAGCCATACAGAGGCTTGTCAGAAAATAAAAAAAAAAAAGGCAAAGAGCCACAAATGTATATCTTATAGACAGCCTTTAATTTTTTCTCTACGATTACTGTAATAAAGTGCACCTAATTTCACATGAAATGAGATAACATGGCTCTTTATACAGCCACCATAATACCAAGAGATAAATCTCAGTGCAAAATGCTTATCTGAAGACAACCAAAGCAGTTAAGACATTTACTGTGCAAACAGCCTGTTCAATGCATGTAACTTCTGGCTGGGGGCCAGTAAATGAGTCGGCAAAATGCAACGGCAGCAGGTTTGCTATTTCATTTCCAGGAGTCCTGAAGCAGTGGTCAGCTCAGCAGCCCCTTGTAAAGACTCTGCAGCGATGCTTTGGGATCATCTCTGTACGGATACTGATGAGCTCCAATTCAACCCATGTCTAGACTTAAGCAACTGGGGAATTACTACTCGGCTACAGAACAGATGGAAGAAAAGCGGGAGGGGGAGAGAGAGGGAAAATGCCAGAATGTATACACAGGCATTAAGCATGAAAACACAGGACTGGCTGAGCTAAGAATTACTTCAAGACCTTCTCCATTTATAGTAAGCTAATCAGCTGTGAACCCAAGAACTACAACGTGTGCTGTAAGACCAAAATAGGACCTGCAGCCATTTTTTTGTGAAACAGAGCTGAGGCATGCCCTTTTGGAAATTTAATTAGAAAAGCACGTCTGGTTTTATTTTTTCATTGTTCTATGAAATAAAAGTAAGTATCAAAGTGGTTATTTCACCTGGAAAAAAAAGCCAGCAGTTTCAATGTGCTTTGAACTGCAGTACAAAAGCTGTTCATCTAAACCCCTCCCCTCTCCTTCTCCAAAATATACAGGACAGTAACTTCAACTTTACATGGTAAGAAAATATATACACATCACATACAGTAAACATATTCTGAGATTTTTTTAAACTTTATACAACATTAGTGAGGAAAAATATAAAGGTTAATAAAATTACGTATAATATATTCAACATAGTAAGAAACTGCTACCAGAGGGAAGGTTGATACACTATCAAAGACAGGCAGAACAAAGGATTGCCATACCTATATAACAACATGGAAATTTTTTTTTAGCCTAAAGCAAATTCTATTGCCAAAAAAAGATACCCTTTGAGGTAGATTCTTCCAATTCTTAAATAACGTGTTGCAATTAAAAAAAAAGGGATTCCCCCCCTCCCCCTCCTTCCCCCCCAACAATGCCACAAGCGTAACTTTTGTTTGGACAAAGATAAGCTGATTATCCTGTCAAGGGCACAGGGATGCTGCAGTCTTAGGCTAACTCTCTAACACTTGAAATGAAAGACAAAACATTTAATATGAATTTGCAAATAAAATACCTTTCGTATAAAGACATGTGTCCATTCTATAGCACTTCCTTTATACGTAATATACATACTTAAATTTGAAGCATTTGGGTTTGTTTGGGGTTTTTTTTATCCTTATTTTATATTGTCATCTTGGAAAGTTGCAGGGAATTTATCATACAAGGCAAGACAGGGTAATCTACAAAATTTAAAAGGAAACAGTATTATAAAAAGCACATGTTGTTATTACTAAAAATCCCACTTGTTAAGGGAGTCCCCAGTTGGTGCTTCTACATAATATCTTAACTTTCTCTTGATATATACACGCATCCTACAGACAAACCACAGTGTAAGCTTTAAATGATGGCATTTGCACAGAGCGCGCAAAAGGAGATCACATCTTCCTTTGACGATTTCACAAACACCTCTTGGAGCTTTGCGCACATACTGCATGTGCAGCAAGACTTCACACAAAAATTCAGACCTCACATGGGTTTCACAGTTTTTACATACATGGCCAAATGCTCATCTCCTCAAATCTCCACTGAGCTGGAATATTTCAGGAATAGTATTTTCTCCATTTAGAGAAAGTGCTAAAGCCAGACAACAAATACAGACACGCTTGTTTCTTAAAGAGAAGTACAACAATACTACTGGTGTAATAAGATCTCATTTATAATTTGGTCTTATAGAATCACTTCCTGTGCAGTCACATTCACTGCATAAATAAATTAATGTCTGAAGATGAGGAAGTTAAGTTAAAATGAATGCATCACTGTCACTTGTTCACATGCAACTGCTGTATTTTCTATTTTTTTTAGAGACATTGGAGGTTCATACCAATTCTGCTTTGCAGATTAACATGTTTAGGCAATTCTGTTACTCAGACCAGTTCTGAACCACTGCCTCACCTGCTCACATCAGGGGAGGTCTAATACTGTTTCTGAACTCACATTCCATGTCACAGGGCAGTTCTTTCCCAGCCATACTAAAACAATGCTTGCAGGTGTGTGCTGGCAAGAAAACTAATACATACAGTTTTCAAATACGTCTTGTGATTAACAATGGAAATGAGAAAACTTCCCTCAGCTTTCAATACGATAACATATTTCTAGCCAATTCAGACAGGGCTATAGAAATAGCTGGGTTTTTTCAGTTTACCCACTTCAATTTTTCAGTAGTAGTGTATTGCAGTAGAAGCAATGTTAATCAAATTAGATCCTTGTGTTTCTAGTATTTGCCTGAATCAAGCTCAAGTTCTAACTCAGGTGACTGATTTCTTCTGTTCCAACCAAGGTGAAGCTCCATTCATTCTACATCTTCCTTGGTTTCAGAGTTTTTCCTGTTGTTTTCCCTGAACTAGGCAAGGTTTCAGGAATCCGGCTCCCAGAAGTCATGCAGTTTTCCCTAAAGAGTAAAACCAAAACAGTAAACAAGCCAGAAAACCAGTGATAGAAGTAAAGAGTAGAGTAGGCAAGTGCTTAGCTTGAGATCACCACAACATGTTGCAAGTCCCTACAATTTTATTCTGAAACACGTGCCAGTTTCCCCATATGTGAATCAACTTCAAGTATCTCTGAAAAAACAACTCTGAAAGAGCAACACCATTATCAGCTTTCATCAACTGCTAAGTAGCTTCTGCAGCCATGCATTACTAATTCCCTTCCCCCTCTATAACAAGAAATGTCACACACACGACAAATTTTGTCGTTTTTGCACATTGCTGGGAGCGATTAATAGTCTTTACAGACAAATGGTTGACTACCCAATTTTTAACTGAAATCAATACTGAGCATATATGTATAATTTAAATTTTATTTAAATGATACATTACTGGAAAGCTAAGCTTTTCCAAGACAGGTAGCTTTATATTCCAAGACAGGACTTAAACAGTTGGTCCGATCACATTACAAAAGAAACCTTACAACCCGAGACTGGAAGAAACAGCTCTGGACTCTGGGTATCAGTAGAAATGATCCACCTGTTCCACCAAGGCCAGCTAGGTGTATCATGAAGGCAAATATTAATAAGACTAATCATGACATTATTCACTACTGCATACTTTTAC